AACCAAGACTCATTCTAGACTTAGAATTACCCCCTGAATCCAACGGTGCCCTCGGAATTCCATTTCGAGCACCGGAACCTCGTTTGTTGACCAAAGTCAACTCTTGATCAAAATTTCACAATTTTTGCAACTTAGGACCTCAAATCTTCGTTTTAACTCCAAATTCAACTCCGTCAATTCTCATAGACCCGTTTCAACATTCTAAAACTGCTGGAATCGACGGAAATTCGATTCGAGTCTCGAAATTCCAAATGACTCGAAATAGCACTTTTAACCAAACTTTAACTCTTAAAAACTCAACTTTCCAAAATCTCAACTTTTCATCAATTTTCCTTCAAACCAACTTCGAAAATACAACAATTAGGACTCGGGGCAACTATCGGGAGGGGTAAAATGGTCATTTTATGAAAATTTCCAAAAATGACCTTTAGGGTCATTACAGGAGTACCCGTATTCTGTTCCCTTAGCTTGTGTTTAGAGGTGTACTTGCTGAGTACCGTGTGGTATGGTACTCACCCCTTGCTTCTATAAATTTTTGTAGGTTACGAGCCTGGATTTTGTGATACTTTCCATTCTCTTATTTTTCGAGGCTTCTTGGAGATTTATGAGGTAGCTGTTTGTCATCTCAGCGGACCTTCTTACTATTATTTATGATATTGTTCTATTTTAGGGACAACATCATTTGAGACCTATGCTTTCTTTCAAATCTATTGTAATATTTTAGAGGCTTGTACACGTGACAACCAGATTTTGGGGGTATTTTTGTGGTGAGTGTTAGGCTGACTTGTCTAGGTGGGATAAGACGAGTGTCATCACGTCCATTTTTGGATCGTGACAAACAACTTCCTAAAAAAAATCAAAAATCGTGATGTCTTTTCCTTCCTTTTTGTGAGAAATTGACTAAAACAATGTAAATTTCATATGTCTATGAAAATTTAAAGAACTATATATCTCAAAATACACACAATATACATAAAAGTTAATAATCATTCAAGGTATATCTACATATCTACATATACGTAACTAAGAATGCATCTAAATTAAACACAATATATACATATAAATTAGATACATACGAAAAATTTCCAGATACATTGTAATTACATAACAAATACATATTATAATATTAAGATACATGATAGAAGGTCAGATACATATGGCAAGACTCGGACACATAACAAAACAAATTGTGTCAGATACATCCATAAATCTCTACTAACGCGTAAATCGATCTCTAATATATTTTAGATACATACATACTTAATTAGATACATTGATAAAAACTAAATACATATAATCGTATTTCAATTATGTGTTAGATACATCTATAATGTGTCAAAAACCGGCGTAAATCTCCACTTATTGAAACTTTTCGATTATGTTCATGGTTGGTCAGGCATCTCACCGCAACGGTGTTAATTTGCTTCACTTTTTGATTTGTCGATGTACTCATTACTCGCTGCGCTTAGATTCAACGGATCTCCGCCAGATCTACCAAAAAATCGACATGAACAGTCCTCCAATTATGCCTTTCGACCTCCTAATCGTCGACGCTGGTCTAAGTGGTTTCTCCACCGTCGGTGCGATCTCCGGATGTAACAATTTGAAAACGAAAAGATATAGATTAATCATATGAATATGCATTGATACATTTAATTTTAGAAAGGTAAGAAGCAAGAAATTGATCAACATCTTGTACATAATATCAATTAATAAAATATAGGACAAAAAGTGTAATAATCTGTGATATCGATTTACAAATCGAAAGAGTAACCAAACAAAAATATAGGACAAAAAGTGTAATAAAGATAGGATTAATTAAATCATATGCACTAACAATAGCGTAATGAATATTTTGATATGGTTGACCAGTGCATTCACAATAAAAATAAAGAAAAATTAGCAACGAACAATTTTCACAACTAAACAACAAAAAAATGTCATTAGTTTAGTTTCATTAATTTAATGATAAATTATTAAAGTAGCATTCGTGTAATTTAGCGATAGGTTAATTCATATTTCTTTATAGTGATTTTAGAATACTATAAAAAGTTACTTGCTTTTCTTTAATTTATTTACTAATTCTATTAATTATATAGGGTTATTTAATTAAATTACCTTTATATATGATGATTTAATAATGGTCCATTAACTGACATAAATCTCAACCCACTTGCATAAAAGATTTTATTGACTTTAATTTGATTTGTCAATTCAGATGATGACAATCTTGCTTTATGAAGGATGGAATTACGTAATATGCACATGCATGATTCACTTTCACAACTATTCACAACTATATATATTTCTTGAATAATGTGATAAAGCTGGATAACAAATTCAAAATTTTAAAAATTTATCAAATAATAAGATTTCTTTCAACATGTTATTTTTCTTCATAGAGATAGCACCAAAATAAAGAAAGAATTTTATAGTTATTATTTAGAGGTAGTAATATAATTATTTCTATATTATATTTACGGTAATAATATTTAATCAACACTTTATAAATATGATTAATTATAACTAACAGTATGCTAAAAGCTTAAATACCTCTTAATACAATGACATTATCATGGTTTCTTCTAAAAAAATCATACTGTCACCAAAGATATTTTTTAATCATAGTTTAGTTTACCTTGATATTATAAACAAATAGTGAAATATCAAATTTAATGTTTCTGATTCTTGAATTTTATGCTACCTTTTATTATATACTTTATAAGTTTTCCACTACATTCCTCCATTATTATTCAAAAAGATAAGGAGGAAATGATTTTTTATGATCCGTTATAATTTGAACATATGAAAGAAAATAATCCTATGGAAAATATGTATTACAATTATTTTTTTGTTAAAAAAATATATAGTTAAAGGAATATTTAAATGTACCATGCATAAGATCGATTTTTGAAAAATAACAAATGAAAATGTTCGAAAGGGAACCAATAATTGTAGACATCATGATATAATTTATGAGTGTAACTCAATTTAAAAGTTAACTCTAAGTGATACTCTTTTAACATATCAAAAATCTAAAATCATGATAGGGAAATAAACATTGAATTTAACTCAAACTCAAAAAAATAAGAATTATCTAAATCATATTTTAAAAGATTATTCATCCTTTGAATGACTGATGTATCAGAGGCGTATCTGAGGGGGTCATCGGATTTACGTGAACCCATGCTCTCCTTTCGAGATTATATATAGTAATGTTATATTTTGAAAAAAATATCAAAATATAGATATGTGAACTCACACTCAGAGTATCACATAATGCAATAATGAATGGATGCACCTCTCTACGTGAGGTTAGAAATTTGAATTTTATATTTATTTAGTTTTATTTTTCTTTCTAAAATTAGATAACACTTCTCTAAGTGGTAATTGGTATCACTTTTGGCATTTTAATTATACATATATAACAATTTTAGACCTATAATATTAAAATTTTAACGGTTTTCAGTAGTAAAAACCTAAATATCAAACCGATCAAATTTATCTCTTAAATCAACCTTTTTGTAATAGTGCACCCATTATCTCAAAATCTTGAATACACCTCTATAAATGACAACCCTTACATCCAAGACTGAACAAGAGCTAGCTTAGACAATTTAACATAACCCAACATCTGAAATCATGATAGAAAAATAAATATCGAATTTAACTCAAACTCAAGATTATCAAAATCATATTAACGAGATCATTCAACCCAACGATGGACTTTTCACCTCAAAAGTACTTGGAAAGTGGGTCATGTGTTCATGAAGTAGCTAAACCCTAGTTTAAAAGAAACAAATATTCTAGACATCATGACTAATTGAAGGGGTCCATATTTTTCTAACAGTGTTACCCGTGAACACATTTTGGAAAGTAGGCAACTTCCAAAAAGAGCCTATTAATTGTTACTGTCCCTGCCAAACAGACCCTTACATACAACTAGGAGAAAACCTACAAAAACAACTAAAAAGTCCATAATTTATATTGGTACCATAGTTCGATAATGACTTTGAGGTGTACAAAATCACTTTCATAAGAAAATATTTTACTTGTCAATATGAGACTTTTCGACACGAATTTAATTTATATCAAATCTCAATATGAATATCGATCGACGTTTGTTTAGACCAAGTAAACTTATTAGTGACAAACTAGGTCAGTAGGTCACTAGTAGGTCTCATTAGAGATGAAATATTCTTGAATAGATATCCAGAAAATAATTACTAAACCAAGCAATTATGCAAAATTAGGGAATGAAAAGATACTCTAGTTCATTGCAGGGAATGAAATTTTCAACTTCTCTTCATTGTCCAAATTAGTTTTACCTCAAATTATATTGTCAACACATTAAATATCCAGCCTTGGATGTTGAAGAATGAAAAAGTACTCACACATCTTTATATGGCCTTGGACAATATCATCTCATGAGTTAATTTAATTTGGGATTGAATTAACTCAATACTCATTTACTTTACACTAACCAAGATTCTTTTCATGCTCGGTATAACTCAATCTCGAAATTTGTGATTAAGAAGTGGAAGGATCACATTCATTCCACCACAATCCGCTAGGACTATTTTCCATTTTTCTCCTAACACATTTTATGAATACTCATCTTTCTTATTCCATTCCATTCATGGGACCTTCACTCTACATCGTAGAGACAATAGATTAAACTCCTTCATGTACTTTCTCTTAGAAATTTTTGAAGAACCCCTGCTTTAGATTCTTAAGCTTATTTATGAATTCCACTTCGACATTATCGAGTAGAAATTAATTCTTAAACTTCAAAAATAATCCTTATTCCCATTTAGAAAATTTCTAAAAAATAACTCCCCAAAAAGTGTATTTCTAGTTTTCCTATTCCCCAATTAGTAATTCTCCTTAGTATAAAAGATAAAGCAACCCCCTTTTCATACAACAATATATTCTTTCTTTACTACACCAAGAAATCTAACATCAAATCTCTTTTCATATACCTCTTCAAATCCAAAACAAGAAAAAAAAAATTGAAAAGCAAATCAATATGTCTTCTAATTTCCACTTCTTATTGATTCTTGTTTTCTTGATTTCACTTCAACCAACAATTTCCACCTCATCATCATCAATTGATTTGATTCAAAAAACATGTATGAACACAAAATACTATGATCTTTGTGTATCATCTCTCAAATCAGATTCCACAAGTCTCAAAGCAGACACAAAAGGCTTAGCAACTATCATGGTCAAAATTGGAATGGTCAATGCCACAGCCACAAACACTTTTCTTTCTTCACATGAATTAGTACTTAACACTACTAATTACACAAATAATGATTTGGTATTAATGAAGAAACTCCTCAAAGATTGTGCTGATAAATATGCTTTAGCTACTAATGCACTTCAAGATTCACTTCAAGATTTGAATAATGAAGTTTATGACTATGCTTACCTGCATGTTATGGCGGCTGCGGATTATCCTAATGTTTGTCATAATGGATTTAAGAGGAATCCAAGATTGGATTATCCAACTCAACTTGCTATTAGGGAAGATGGATTTAAACATATTTGTGATGTGGTTTTAGGTATCCTTGATGCTCTTGGTTGGTGAAAAAAAAAATCCCTTTTTTATGGGATTTAATTTCTTGTTTTTTTTTCATGTTATATGAAATGTAAACTTTTTCTATTATTATATATGTGTTTAGTTTTTCTTTGTCTATGTGTAGAGTTAAAGAAATGAGGATTTGTATGTTGCCTTTAATTGTTTATTGAGTTTACCTTTCTATGCAAGGCACTTTTAGTCTGAGATCTGAATTATATTTTTTTAAAATTTATTGAGTTACGAATATATTATTTATATATATTAAATAAGTTTTTAAATATAAATATAAAATTTGAAATCAAAAATATTAAAAGTGGTTAAATTTGACATTTGAATGATGCTAATCCCCTGCTTCTATATCCCAATGTATATAAAATATTTTTTTCTTGTAAAGGGTGATCAATAGTCAATATATGATGATATAATTTGTTATTTAATTAATTTCTTTTACCAAATCTATTTGACTATTAAGTTGGAAAAAAGGAAAGAAAGCAAAAAACTGGGGAGATTTTTCCACTACTAATTGTCTATTTTCCCTGCTGTATGGCTGATCGGTGATTACTAGCGAGACTGGTTTTATGCAGGCGAGTTGCAGCTTACAATTCGAATTAAGGACACGTGTTGAATGACTTTTGAAAAATGTGAAAGAAATTTTCTAACCGGTTAGAGAGCTCATTTGAGGCTAGGTCGTAAAAATCCAATCACGCTTGCTTACGGCCTTATCTTTCACCTAGATCCAGAGCTACTGCTTCAAGAATTAACTGAGCTCAAGAAGTCAGGTTAAGACGTCGACTTTGACAGGGGAGATGAAAAAGAATTCATGTCTTTAGAAGTAAATCTCATTCTTTTCTTCTTCTGCCTAAATGCTTTTTCATTTAAGTTTATGTGACAAACTTTTTCTTTTAATTCGTTTAGTAAAGTGAAAAATAAATACATTATCCCAACAGTTGCAACAATCCTCCTTTCTTTTTTGTACTTGCAATTGTTTATCTATATCTATCTATCTATCTATTCTCATTTTTCCGAGAACAAGTTTTGAATTAGTCATTAATCTTTTTGAAGGTTTTGCGAACTTGGCCCTTACTCATAAATGTTGAAACAAATTAAAACGGAAGGAGTATTTATATTCTTTTTAAAATTCAGCGTTGTTTTATACATTTACATGGAACAAAAATATAAATGTCACTTTTCAAAAATCATATCAAAAAGTACTCTAACAATGACATTCTCACGCAAATTTTTCAAAGGATTTGCTACATTGTAAAGAGTGGATACTTTAGCAGCTGACACTTAGTATTTAATTGTGAACTTCATCGCTAAATTGTTCATAGCTAGCCAGATTAGAATTTGTCCATCGCTAATTTTTGTTAGCTAGCTATCTAGGAGATCATAACGATAAATAGGGCAAGTATGAGCCTACTTTAACCAAATTTTAAAGCAATATCTACGAAACATATGTGCGCAAAGCGTGATACGTTCATCATCAACCTCAATTCTCCTTAGCAAGTGCAACATGTATGACTTGGTCCTGGCACATAGCACCTTGATTTTCTGATGTCTTGATAGAAAAGGAAAAAACTCGATAAGAGGATAACTCGAAACACATGTGATTATGTATTTATGTATGTATATTTTTTTCTAAGTATGTATCATACAAAGATACAGAGGATACTACTTATTTGATGAATGAGTGCATAATAAAATTATAAATCAATGAATATTAGTATTGTGGTAAAATATTCATATTAATCATCATTTCTAAAGGAATGTGTGAAATTCAAAGTGGACAAGTAAAATTGAATGGCGAGAGTATAAGAGTAAAAACATTGATAGATTTGTACAACGTTTTCTTACATTTCCTATAAGAAAACGTTACTGTGCATTATTTTAAAGGTTCCAAAATTGAACTGTTTGTCATCAAGTTGTTGCTTTCTCATACTCCATATTTGGTAAGGATAAGTTGGTCTAAGGCGCCAGTTTCATGTACTGTTCCAAAAAGGTCTAGGGAGTTGGCATGAGCAATGAAGAAGGACTAGTAACTTGGTTAATAGGGCTAGTGATGACCTGTTATTTGTGAATATTATTGTTGAAGTGTTAGGCTGTGATTTGACATTCTAGAGGTCTTGTATTCGTGGATATTAATGTTATAGAAGGGTTAGACTATGATTTGACATTATGGTGACATAATATGTAGGCTTGGGAAGCCTTATGGTGCCATAATTGAGGTGTTTAGTTATATTATTTACCTAGGAAGGGTAGAAGTAAGGGAATAGAGAAGTGGGGTGGTTAACTTTCATATTGCATGACTTTCTGATTATCTACATTATATTATGCGGTAGGTTCGGGTCGACCGATGATGCCTACCAGTATGTGTTGTTGTACTAACACTACTCTTGCTATATCACTTGGCATAGTTTGGTTGCAGGGTCAGTTATGTTTCATAGATGCAGACGACGATAATCTCTAACAGCTTCCATGTTTCCTTACCTTATGGTGGGAGTTGTGTCCTAATTTCTTGTATATATTGTACTTCTATTGTAGCTCTTGTACTTGTTAAGACTAGTTTCATTTGGGGGGGGGGGGGGTGTTTTCAGTCTTTTATAAAAAAGGTTTATTTAAAGTTTGTCTTGAAAATTATGTTTTAATGAGCTTGTAACTGTCAATTATTTATTTTCCGCACGTTTTAATCCAAATTGGGTTGTAAGGTTATCCTAATTAGGCGTTAGAGTAAGTGTCTGCATGATCTAGTGGGTTGGATTGTGACAATAGATATTTCTAATATCTTTTAAAACTTATGATATAAATCTTTTTTTTTTAAAAGTCAAATATTTCTCCAAAAACTTTGGTCAAACACAAAATTTTATCCAAAAATTACATGCCAAAATTATTTGGAATCTTTGACCAAATTCTAGCTTAATATGGTATAGGCATTTATAGATAAATTAAGATGATATGAAATTTTTTGACCAAACGCTAGCTTAATATAGTATATCACCCAAATTATCCAAAAATAACATGCCAAAATTCTAGCTTTTAGAATTTACGGGTATAATCATATTATTTCCTTAAAAAGTCAAATATTTCTCCAAGATTTATGACCAAATTTTAGCTTAATATAGTATAGATATAAATAAATAGATTATGATAGACCAAACACTAGCTTAATATAGTATAGATATATAATGATGATATTTTAAATCTATGACCAAATGCTAGCTTAATATAATACACATATAAATAGATATAGATATAGACAGATAGATTATGAAGCTATGAAGAAAAAAGCAAGAGGCTCCTCACTTGGGAAGTTAGGGTTCCATTCATCTTCTTCGCAAGGTATGCATTAAATTTTGCTGAACTTTTATATTTGATTGCTCAATTGCTCTTGTGACTCGGGATGAATCTTTATCGCTGAATAAAACGAATAAAAAAAATATTCCTAATTGGTTCGGTAATGGAATCAATAGCTTTCAATAAATTTATGTAAATATAAATAGTACCCAATAAATTTATTTGCAAAACATGGATAGGTAAAACCATGAGTATGGTGTTGTATACTTGTGTTGAAATAGTAGAACTGAATAAAAAGGTGAATAGGGTTGCATGCATTATTTTTTTATATCAAATTTTCCCTAAAACTATCAACTTTTTTTTACAGATAATATTAAAATTGTTGCAGAAATGGATAACGAAGATCGAATAAGTTATCTGCCAAGAAATATTATTGATCACATCTTTGAGCTCCTGCCTGTCGAAGATGCAGCAAGAACTAGTATTTTGTCCACAAAGTGGAGATACATTTGGGCTACGGTTCCAAATTTGGTGCTAGATAAACTCTTGCAATAAATTAGCATTAAGATCTCGATATATCTTTGGACAAACAATAGACGAGATTCTTTTACAACATATTGGAAACATTGTGAAGTTTGATCAAGACATGTCAGGAGTAGAGTTGTCTTTGTGTCCAAATATTGATAGATGGATACTTTATGCCACCAGAAACAGTGTCAAGGAGTTAAAGCTTAACATGCCAAATGATAGCACTTACAAAGTGCCTTCTTATATATTTAACTGTCCAACCCTGACAAAATTGAAACTTTTCAATTGTGTCGTCAAACTCCCAAAATCTTTTCTTGGCTTTCGAAAACTTACAATTCTTTTTCTGGAAAATGTAACTTTTATGTCAAATACAGAAATTTGTGTTATTAATGCCCCCTTTCTTGTCAGTTTAACCTTATTGAAGTGTAATGGTACTCAATGCCTCAACATTGATTCAGCTGGGTTGGAGTACTTGTTTTACGATGAGAGCTGATGTAATCTTGACCTAAGTTGCTTTATGAAGTGCAAACAATTGACTTGTTTGTATCTCAAGGTTGAAAATTATTCAATGCCTTTTGAAAGATTAACTTTGGAAAAGCTTCTTCTTAGTTTGACTACACTTGAGGTACTTTTGTTGAGTTCATTTGAACTTGAGGTAAGAACCTGACATACATGAATTATTTTACTTCCCGTCTTAATGGGTGGGATTTGATGCGGTTCCCCAGAGCATCTCCCAAGGCAGAGCTATTCTATTTGAAAAATGTAGATTAGCATTTATAAGTCGCGGGTTGATTTGTGATTCAAGGCTATAAAGACAGGATGCTATATGTTTTCAGTGTGTTCCCTTCATTACTTTGATAAACTTGTTTTTAAATAGATGTTTTGGAAGTTTTATCTTAATTTATTGTGTGATGAGATTAGCAATCTTACTTTGGTTAATTGTTTGTTTTGTTGGTGGAAAGAAATGCAGGAACTGAAAAAACACATCTGAGAACTTGTTAAAGTCATGTGTTTGTGTTGGAAAATAAATAGAACACTTGTTTATTCATACATGTTCAACTTATTAAATGTCCTTAAACAAAGGTGTCACGCCCGAGCCTACACCCTGGGCGGGACCGGCACTCGACACTACAAGAAAATGTACTTTAAGCTACAAAATACATTGTAGCTAAATATACAATTTTCCGTAGCTAAACACTTTAGCTACATTATTTTGTTTCGTAGCATGCGTAGCAAGATGTAGCGTGGCTAATAGTTAGCTACAAACTTTACATGGTTCGTAACTAAGATTTTATACGTATAACTACAAAATAAAATTGTTTATAGCTGCAATGGATACAAACTTTTGCCACGAAAAATATACTTATAGCAAATTATTTTATTCTTGTGCCACGTTAAATAAAATTTGTATCTATCTTTATAAAGTAGCCATAAGAGGTTGTATTGTAGCAAAAGATTCAATTTATTTGCCACGAATATTTAAACTTTGTAGCTAGTTCTATAACTGATCTCGTGGCAATAATACTTATATTTAATTATGAATCAAAAAATTCATAGCTATAACTCAATGTCTTTGCCACAATTTTTTTTATATTATAACTAAAAATTCATATATCTAGCCATGAAATATCAGCGCTGAAGCTTAAGAAAAACTATTGTGTGATGAGATTAGCAATCTTACTTTGGCTAATTGTTTGTTTTGTTAGTCTTCTTTATTATATATATATATAAAAAAATTAAAAATGTGGGACTCAAATAGTAATTACTATCATGAAAAGACCTTTCCCGTCTTAATCATTTTTAAATGTTGTCATATTAAATGCTAATAATAGCTAAAATAATGATAAGAATAATAATTTCTTTCGTTTTACAAGATTTACAAAATTAGTTTATACATTTCCGGAATGATTATAAATAATTACAAATAAATAATAGGTATATAATTTAATAAAATAATTACTAAAAAACTTACAGTAGTTTATGGCTTTATATGATTTTTCTATAGCACTAATATTATAAGTTTAAAATTGCTTTAAAGAAATAAAAAAAAAAATCCAAGAAGAGTCTTTTCCACTACCCCATTAACTACACATATGTACAATGTATGTTATTTATTAAATTAATAAATTTATATTATCTTGAGCTCATAGTTATAAATTTTTTGGACCAGTTAAGAAATTGATGAGTTGTCTTTTCATTATTCAATACAGACAGTTATATTTGTCAATTTCCTCCATATATCAGCTCACACTTTTACTTTACCCTTCTTTTACTCAACACGTTTTCTTATTCATGCTTAGGTGAATATTTTCTACTTATCTTTGCTTCACTTCCTCTTATTTCAATTTTACATTTTTAATTCCAATTTGTTGATATTATTTTTCCTAATTTTGTCTTCTTTTTTTTTTTTTAATAGAAGTTGTTGTATGGAATCCATAGTATAATGCAGAAAGGAAAATTGACTTTTTAGTGTATTGAAATATAAATATAATTGTGGTTATGCATTTCAAGTTTTCGTTATACACGGTTGGTGTATATATTGAAAGTTTCTCAATGAATTGCAGGGATTATTGCAATGTATGATTGATTAAACTCATGAGAAATACATATTCTTATTATGCTTATAGTTTGAAATTTAAAGGTATCTGTTTTGATTTTATATCTTATAAATGTTTTTCAATTTATATATAAATAGATTAAACTCTTATTCATGTTATTTCAAAAATATTATAGATTGATATGGGATACACGTGCAAAGCATGCGTCCAGAAACTAGTGATAACAATAAGAAATAAAATAGGATAATTGAAGTGATTGAGATGGACTCTAATTCTAGAAATTGGTAAAACAACTAAAACAAGAATAAGCTAAAACGTACAAAGAATATTCAGTCGTTATTACCCTTCAACTTGGCTTCAATGCCCTCCAACTTTAATTTAGGTGTACACTGTGCACAAATAGATACTTAAACTTGTATAAAATTGAATAGATAGACACACTCGTCTTATGTGGCGTCATACATGAAAATTTTGTGTCCTATGTGGCATCCTACGTGTATTATGCCACGTAGGACGCATGCGTCTACTTGTTCAATTTGTACAAACTTAAGTGTCAACTTGTATACATCCAAAATTGGAGGGTATAGATGTCAGTGGAAACCAAGTTAAAGAGCATATTTATGCATTATGCCTCAAAAATATTATCTGGAGAATCAAATAGGGATAATACATATATTTGACCTTAAACTTGGCTTCAAATTTTAACTTTGACCTCCAACTTTCATAGTGCACAAACAAGCACTTTAACTATCCAACCTTTTAATAAATAAACACGCGATTTTTGGAGCCAAGAGCGTGAAATGCAATCGCTGCCACGTGTATTAGTGAGCCACTCAATGGCTGCCAACTAATTAAACACTTTACACGTCCATTTTAGAACTAAAAAAAAATAAAAATTAATTAAGGGTAGAGTTGTCATTTCAGCATTTTTTTCACTGTTGTGTGCCTAAAAATTACTTCTCACTCGCGCAAAATGCGTGCACGTCACGCGTTTTGCCAGGTAAGACACGCGTGTTTATTTATTAAAAGGTTGGATAGTTAAAGTGTCTATTTGTGCACTTTGAAAGTTGGAGGTCAAAGTTAAAATTTGAAGTCAAGTTTAAGGTCCAATATATGTATTATGCCATACAAATATGCATCAATCTAATTAATGGATGATATACCAGAAAAGAAGATGAGGAGCACACAAGTTTTATCCCAAATATTGGATCAACTGTATAATTATCTATACATATTTTCAAGCAAACATATATATTTCTTACATGGTAAAAACTAATTGAAACACTTAAAAACAGTACACTGCAATTCACATGGAGGGATCTTTTCCAAACCCCATTAGAGCATGTGTTAAAAGCATTGAAGCTCTACGAGATACCTCAATCACGCGTCCAACAAGTGCTACCTTCACTGTCTCCTTATTCCCTAAAGATTTCTTATCCCAGCTACAAAAATTGTTCGAAAACCATTCAGAAACAGGAACAAACTATACAACCAAACATAATATTGGATTGTATAGAATATATTTGGCAAGACGAGTGAGGCTTGCTCAGTTGGTGAAACATCTCTCTACTTTTAGCCAATTATACTGGTCGAGGGTTCAAGTCATGTTGTAGCAATGGGGGAGTTCAGCTTAGCAAGCCTCATTTGTTTTGCCAAAAAGAAACATCTTTTGCAAAAGTATGTCATGTGACGAGTACATAAAACATTAGATAAAGGAGTATATTTTGGCAAGACGAGTGAGGCTTGCTCAATTCGTGAGACTCCTCTGCCTTAAGCTTGTTGGTCGAGGGTTCAAGTCACATTATAGCAATGAGAGAGAACACAACTTAGCAAGCCTTACTCGTTTTTGCCAAAAAGGGAACATCTTTTGGCAAAATTATGTCATATGACAAGAACACAGAGATAGCTAAAAGTGGCATTAATCAACCCTGCATATCTAGAGCCCTAGACCACGTAAAACGAATTTGTGCGACTTTAGCATTAAGTTTATCGAACATTTGAAGTTGCACAGAATTTGAACATACTTAAAGAAGTACACTGTAATGAAACCAAGAGAAATGCTTAACATTTTCCTAGTTGAACTAAAAATTCAAAAAGTATTCTTGATGTGAAATATATACGTACCAGTCTTCATGACGAACAACCTTTCCTCCTTCCGTGTACAACTTGATCATCGATATCATATGAATGTCTTTCCCCAAGAACTTGTAATAATGTTTGTTGCCAATTAAAATCTGAAGCCATCAACCATAATGTCAGAGTCCTATTGCAGAGAATAAACAAAGCAAAAAGAAAACGCAATAGGATGGAGGGTTCTTAAACCTCTTTATTTCCAGGAGAAATTTCTTTCTCTGTGACGTTGTACTCCACGATTCGACTCACTGAAGACCTGAAATGTACAAAAAAACAACAGTTTGAAGTTGTTCATACACAGCAATCCCAAGCCTAAAGGAAGACATAATATAGTACTCCCTCCGTCCCTTTTTAGTTGTCCACTTTAGAAATGGCACACAGATTAAGGCAACAATGATTAGCACAGTGAAGTTACAATTTTACCCTTATGACAACTTTTCACTTCAAAATTACAACCACTTATTTGAATTCAAGTGAAATAAATTGGAGGGAAACAACATACACTTTTACAATTTTCAAGAAGTGTAAATAAGGGTATAATAGGAAAAAATTTGTTGTCCTTTCTTGATTTGTCAAAATGGACAACTAAATAGGGACAACCAAAAAAGGAAATATGGACAAGTAAATAGGGACGGAGGGAGTAATAAATTGATTAGCTTTAAGAAGAAAGGGTTGGCTAAGAACTATTGACGTAAACCATAGTAATTACAGTCTCTCAACATACATCGGAGATTATGCTGGGAACCTTAGATATTTTCGTGATCTATTTTTTTTTTTTTTAGAGAAATGAGTTTAAGAACAAAATTATGATATCCATATGTTAGAAGCTAGCAAAACTGATTTTAAAACTGCATCGCGCAGCGTTTTCCCAAAAGGTTCTTGCCTATTTCTTTCCACAATAAAGTATATCAATCTAGCATAGTAGGAGACTTGTATGAAATAGGACACTTAGCAAGAAGGAGAATTGATTAGACCTTCCCGAGAGAATAAAATGACGATTTTATCTGCTTTACCCTGCAATCAACAGTAATATTCATAGTCAGCCTTGCTAATATTGAGGATTACAAAAGTGGTTTACAAGTTATGAATTGAAGTAGAATTGAAAGGAACAAGCTAATTACTAGACGTGTGAAAGGAAGATAACAGAAAGCAAGCATTACTCTGAATTTTTTCTTAGAACCTCTCAATTCAATTAACCAACAACATACTCTGTGTAATCCCACAACTGGGGTCTGGGGTCTCGGTAGAGTAGTGTGTTCATAGATAGACCTTACCCCTACCTTGGGAGGTAAAGAGGTTGTTTTTGGTAGATGTTCGGCTCAAGTAAAGCATTACAAAGAAGTTTGGAAAAAAGAAAACAACGGAAGTGAAAAAACCAAGACAAAATACTAAAGAAAGCATGACAGAACCGTTTATCACTGAAATTAGTTTCTTGTTTGCTCCTCATTTCTAATATAACAAGAATGTTGATGATGATTTATCTTGTAAACCTCAGTTTAGCATAAAAGGGTCGGACTCGAGTTACTTCTGATTCAGAAATACAGAAGCGCTTGATTTTCAAATTTCACAATCATTAGGCGTGGAGACTAAATTGTTTTCCGTTATCTTCTTTTATCATATAAAATGATTGCACTGAGAAATTCTGCAGCTGAAGCACGTAAAAATGTTTAATTCTTGCTCTAATATATTCAGCATGATCAATTGAAGGCACTTGTCTAAAGTGCAACATCTATCAACTACTAAACAAGGGTACTATAAGATAGACAAGTTAAGCATACCCCTCTGCACGCATAAGGGGATCTTCAAACGTTGCATTTGGAGCATAAATCTCAAAATCTTGTGCCTTGGCTCGCGATGCATATCTGGAATTTATTTGCAGAAAGCTTGTGAGCATAATTACTATAAAAATGATTCATTAACTAATAAGCTATTGATTAACAGATATCACTAAGACAACAATTGTGTCTCTGTTCCAAACAAGTTGGATATCAACTATATGAATTCTCATTATCTATATCACTCTATTTAAGCCTGTCTCGTCCCGATATTATAAATATGTAGTTTCTCAGTGCTACAGGTTCTCAACATTCTACTGCCATATGAGTCTGTGACAAGACTAAAAGACTTCTAGGGAACATTGAACCTAAAGTAAACTTGCTAATATTTGTATATATTTAAGAATTTGTGAAAAATATTTTGCTCCACACTCTATATCATATTCTTATTTTTTTTGAGTGGAAATTCAGACTCCATCACGTAACTGATTGCTATAATTGCTACAACATACATGATAATAAAAAAATATATAAAAAAAATAAAATATATATATATATATATAGTAATAGAAGAAAATTAAAAGAATAAAATAAAACATTTAATTGGGAGTATAACTCACAAATTGAGAAGATGTGGAAGTATATAATGAGATTCAGTATTTGAGGGATTAGCAGCTTGCTTCAAGTACCCTTCTCTCTCTTCCTCCTTCATTCCTTTTACACAATTCCCAAAAGTTTTTTTAAAACAAAAAAGGCATAATATCTGAAATTATAATATTCTTTTTATCCTATATTGAAATTACCTTTGGAATAATTCGAAGTTGAAGCTCATAATTTCCCAAGCTCTCTTGCTCTTGTTGAATTCTCTTTGCACTATTTACTACAGAAGAGCAGCAACGTTTTATTTGGATTAATTTTAGTGTCATTATATCTCCAATACTCTCCGGAATCTCCTCCAGTTTTTTCAACCCATAAAGTATTAGTCGCTCAAGCATAGGAAAATTATCACTACCAGCTGCTACTTCCCACCTTTCCAGATCTGCTTCACCAATTAATAGATATCTTAATTTGTGAAACACAACATCTTCATCTACTTTCCAATCTGTTCCAGAAAATGCGTACTCCCCTTCGATCACCTCAAGATTAGGTAAATTAGCAAGTAAATTCACAACTTCCCATGGTATATAAGTACGTGATAATATCAATTTCTTGATATTAGGACTTAATTTCTTGATTTTACAAGACAAAATATCTCCAGAGAAAATGTTCAGGTCTATGCTCTCCAGACGTATGTGTAGTATCTCCAGATCCTCTAGAAGAATTAGAGAATCAAAAATTCCAGGCCAGTCAGGATGATCAGAATTATCTATCATGATGTCTAGCTCTTTTAGATTGGGAGTTCTTCTTATGATTTCCACAATAAAAGGAGAGTTATAGAGATAAAGATTTTGCAAGTTATTGAGAAACAAAGGATTTTCTGCCTCAAGAGGATTAGATATATATAGTGGCGAATCAATATCCACATGTCTTAGCTCTGACATTCTCCAGATATCTAGTGGCTGCTCCAACGCTGTTGGTCTGTTGACACTGATATTTCTATGAAGAATTATGGTCTGTAGATTTCTCAATTTGTCTAGTGAAAGAGCTTCCTCAATATTTGCAGCAACATATCTCAAATGTACAAGCTCAGGTATTACACTAGAGAAATCTAACCAAACATTTAATACATCCAACACCTTAAGCAACTTGAACTCTGAAACAATGGAACAAATCCCTTTTGGAAAATCGGAGTAGTAAAAATATTGCATTGAAATAAAGGTCCGAGCTGTACTTGTTATACCATTGCTATGCATTGGAGGATAAACTTGCTTCTCTTCAAGTTTAGACAGAACGATAACTCGCCGTTGATCATCTATGGCTTCTAATAAGAACATGGGAACATTCCCATTCATGATATGCACAACATTTTCAGTATGAGTTTCACTTAGGCATAGTTGGCGTAGAAGATCATGAATTTTGCAAGTTTTCATCCTTTCATTAACTCTTTGTGTACCGGTCAAAATTAGACTTCTATCAATTAACTCTTGTAGATACTCCTCTGCCACCACTTCTAACCTTTTATTGTTTCTTGCCTTTACGAATTGCTCAGCAATCCACAGCCTAATCAACTTGGAAACATTAATCTCTCTATCTTCTGGAAAACCTCCAACATAGAGAAAACAAGCCTTCAAATATTGGGGCAAGTAATTGTAGCTCAGAGACAGAATTGATTGGCACCGTTCGGACACCGTACCAAAGAATGAGTTCAGATTTTCCTCAACCTTCTTCCAATTATCATGTGTTGGGTCCATTTTTCCAAGAAGTCCAGCAACGACAACCACCGAGAGAGGTAATCCTCGACATTGTTGTACAATATGCTTCCCTATTTCTTCTAGAAAAGGAGGACAGTGATCTTTTTTGAATAATTTTTCAGTGAATAGATTCCAACTATCTTCTAGACTAAGAAAAGACTTACTATGAGGCGGATAATCAAGGGAGCTGACATAATTAGCAACATACTTGAGCCGAGTGGTTAATAGAATTCGGCTTTTATTGTCATCATTTGGAAATATTCTTTGAATTTGGTCCCATGCCTCAGTACTCCAAATATCATCTATGACAATTAGAAATCTCCTACCTTTCAGACCTCTATACACAATCTCCATTAGTTGATTATCGCTCATTTTTTGATTGCTTCCGGTAATTGAAGAGGCAACTTCAAGAAGCATTTGTCTCTGATTGTATTCTTGGGAGATAGTGACCCATGCATGTTTATCAAATCGAGAACGAATAGATGAATCATCATAAACTTTTTTGGCAAGAGTTGTCTTACCTATACCACCCATACCAAAAATTGGTATAACAGTTAACTCTTCTGTTTGGGCAGTGAGGCGATCAAGTATGGTGTTGAAGTCATCCTTTATCCCAACAACAGTATTTTCCACAATTGTACTTTTTTGATCTGGTGAGAAGGGAGTTGTTGCTAATTCTGCAGATTTGCTTCCATGCTTGTTAAACTTAACCACCATCACCTCTTTCCTGAGAGAATCAACATCTTTTTCCACTTTTACCAATTCTTTGTCGAAGAATTTACAAGCCCCTTCTCTACTCTCTGTGCAATCTGCTAGAATGATGCTTCTTAAGCTTGAATCAACTTTATCTTCTGCTTTGTATACTACATTTCTGATCCTCTTTTCTACAACCTTGAAATTGAAACTCGATAAATTAATTATTTTTTTAAATAAATAAATAAATATATATATATATATAAGATCAGTAAGATTTAGATAACTATACTAGTGAATTACATACCTTAAGAGTTTCAATATCATTTGTGGTAGTATTGTCAAGGAAAAGTTGCAGAGCAGAAAGATTTTGATAGAGAGATTGAAGATGTTGTTGTGTAGAGCATCGACAAAAGAAAGATTGATTAGGTTTGAAGAGTTGTTCCAATGTATACATAAGTGAAGAAAGAGCAGCATAAGCCATTTCTAAAGGATAGAGCCTTGCAGATTTCAGTTGCTTTGTTCTGTGCAAATTATTAACTTTTTTCTTTAATCTTTTGCACACTAAAGAGGATAATAAATGTGTGCTTTAGAATGGTCCATATATACCTGACCTTTCATCTTCAAGAAAAAGCAGGGACTGCCTCTGTCCAAAAAAATTGAGGCAATTTTTTAAAAATTATCTTTATATAAAACCGACCTAGCCCATCCTTTTTTCTTATTTAACTAATACATTTTATTCAGTATTATCGAGTATATAACTAATACAAACACATTGTATTAGTAATATCAAAGTTATTAATACATGAATAAGTTATTGCCTTGAATATGTTAATCTAAATAATGAATAAGCAATAATCTAAGCATAACCAACTTTACTAATACATATACCTTATTCGGTACTATTTTTATACTGTACCCTGCCAAACGAGTACGACTCTTCACTTTCATAACTCCAAATAGTTAATAGTATCCATGCCTTTCTTTATATTAATTTGGGAAAATGCATAAGTACCCTAGCATATGCCCAAAATCCCTGAGACACACCTAATCTTTACTAAGGTCCTATTACCCCCTCGAACTTATTTTTTTAATTAATTTTTTACCACTTTTCGGCTTACGTGGCAATATAAACCAGATAGGTTAAAAGTTTTGTTCAACACGCGTTGGGCCTGTAACACCCCAGAGAATTTTTCGAACTAAGACTCAAGCCGTCCTTCATGTGGAGTGAGATTTTACCGAGGAATAAAAATTTCTTGAGTGTTAAGGTCCCTAGATGTAGCACATTGAGTTCCAAGAAGAGTTGAATTGGAAATAGCCATTTTTGGAAAGAATTCAAAAATCTGTAAATTTGGTTGTGTGGGAAATCAGTGAGTTTTGGCCAACTTTGATCAGTCATAACTTCTAGTTCAAAATGATTTAGGTGTAGTTCCAGTTATGGTTGCGAAGTTCGTGGAATGATCTTTCCAACGCCACCGAGTTTGCTCGATTCTGAGTTCGTATGAGTGAGTTATTCCCTTTGGAAGCTGGGCAGTTGGCAGGGAAATCCGTCCGGAAATTTTAAGGGCATTTTGGTCTTTTCCCTAATCAATTCTTTTGGTTATATAAATGTATTAGACTGATTTTTTATCAGTTTGTCCCATTATAAAAGAGTGAGAGTGAGGGTTAGGGTTCTTGAGAGAAGAGGAGAAGAAGAGGAGAAGGAGAAGAAGAAGCAAGGTTCGTAGAGATCGTCGTGGATTTCGTCGGGGGTGATCCCTATTAAGGTATGTGAGTTCATAGCGTTGGGTTGATTCTTTCCCCCACATGCCAAACTCTTTTTAATTCCGAGAAAGGATTGGTTGTGTGGTTGAATTCTTGTGGTTGTTCTTGTTGAAGTTTGTGGTTGTGTTGGTTGAAGTTGTAGTTGTGTTGTTGAAGTTTCTTGTTGGTTTGGTGCATGTTCCCGGAAGGACGCCAAGACCTCTCTTTTATCCCCCACTTTCTTATGCATGTTCCTAGGTATGGTACCTATGTTTCCTAGTTGTTTCCAACACTCCAAGGTACTTCTAAAAGTCAAGAACTCATCTGTAACATGTGATCAAACACCTTGAATTCATAATCCAATTCAAGGAGAGTTAGTTTCCAAGTCAAGTGAAGTTAGAAGTCAAGTGAAGTTGGAAGTCAAGTGAAGTTAGAAGTCAAGTGAAGTTAAGAGTTAAGTTCAAGAGTCAAGAAGCAAGTCAAGCAAGTCTTCAAAGTTGTTCAAGAGTCTTTATTGAATGTTTTAACTTCATTTTAAGACTCAAGTTTCAAGTCAAGCAAAGAGCTTAGAGTTTCAAGTCAAGAAAAGGGTATAGAGTTTCAAGTCAAGCAAAGAGCTTAGAGTTTCAAGTCAAGAAAAGGGTATAGAGTTTCAAGTCAAGCAAAGAGCTTAGAGTTTCAAGTCAAGAAAAGGGTATAGAGTTTCAAGTCAAGTAAAGAGTTTAGAGTTTCAAGCTAAGTAAAGAGTCTCATTTTCAAGTTAAGCCAAGAGTATGAGTCAAGTCAATTTCTCAAAAGTTATTAGGGAACTAAGTATTCCCAAAGAAGTTTATAAATGTTTTCACATTTAAGATGAGAGGAAACTGAGATTTCCAGAAGAGTTTTTGAGAAGTTTGAGTACTATCCCTTTTTGAGAAAAGATGAGTTTTGCAAAAGAGTTTCTAAAACATGATTAGTATGGCAAATCGAGTATGTCATCAATGTTTAAACAGCATGGTCTCTAGATATACCATCAATGTTTACGCAGTATGAATATCCCGAGTCATCAATGATCATATTAAAATATGGTTTTGAGATGTTCTTTTTAGAAAGAGTTTTCAAGAGCCTTTGGGCTAAGTTTTGAGTAATTATCTCAACTAAAGAAAGATGTGTTTAAATCACTAATGAGCTAAAGTATTTTTGGGAGTAGTCTTGAGCACCGAATTGGGGACACGAGTTCATATTAACTCAACTCTCCATAGGAGCCATGTAGCCAACATGGGATTTAACGTGTCATACTTTTTAGATGATCACGTAAAGTTAAGCTAGTGGATCCACTTAGTAAAGTTAGCTTCCTATATCACGACAAGGTATAGGATGGTCCTTAGGCAACGTGAGGTAAAACGTTGTATCACTAGCTTCCTATATCACGACAAGGTATAGGATGGCCCTTAGGCAACGTGAGGTAAAACGTTGTATCACTAGCTTCCTATATCACGACAAGGTATATGATGGTCCTTAGGCAACGTGAGGTAAAACGTTGTATCACTAGCTTCTTATATCACGACAAGGTATAAGATGGTCCTTAGGCAACGTGAGGTAAAACGTTGTATCACTAGCTTCCTATATCACGACAAGGTATATGATGGTCCTTGGGCAACGTGAGGTAAAACGTTGTATCACCACTTAGTTTCATAAGTGGTGGTTGTCGGTTAGAGAAACTCCCACAGTAGAAATTGCATGGTTCCTCGAGGGGTTCTGTTTGGTATGGATGGAGGTATGTGACTTCATTCATGCATTGCGCAAGGAGACTTTGAGAGGAAGCATGGTATTTTCATGATATTATAAATATGATTTTTATGTCACGTTTTAATAGTCTTACAAGCTTTATATATTGCATGTGTCCTATTGCTTTATGTATTGAGTTCAGTTATTCATGAGTTAAACAGAGCCAAGGTAAGAGTTCTTTTTTACTCTTTTCAAGCTTAAGTTGTGGTTTAGCTTTCCAGCTCGCATACTCGTACATTCAATGTACTGATGCTAGTTGGCCTGCATCTTATGACGATGCAGATACAGGTACCCCGGATCAGCATCCTGCACGCCGTTGATCCAGCTGAGCACTCCAGAGTCAGTGGTGAGCCTCCTTGTGTTCCGGAGGACTCTGTTATTTCGTTTTTCCTAGTTTTGTTTTATTAGGATGTTGTAGGGTCTGTCCCAACATCCATCTCAGTATTATAGAGGCTTCATAGACAGTCAGTCAGTTAGTTTTGAGTCTCTCATCCATGTATATATATAAATATTCTATTTTGAGACTCGAGTTGCCTTTTTGGCCAGATTTTATCAGTTGGTTGTTTTATAACCTTTCGTTGCATTGAGATGTGCTGTTGAGTTAAGTTTCTGCTGAGTTAAGAAAGCCAGGCCAAGGGTTCGCTTGGGGGCAGCAATGGTCTCCGAGTGCCGATCCCGCCCAGGGTATAGGTTCGGGGCGTGACAGGGCCCCACTTTTTCAACTTTCTAAAAAGTAAGCTAGCAGTTCAAAAGTAGCTTTTACACTTCCCAAAATTTCAAAAAGCTATCACTTTATGTTTTAGCTAAAAATATTATTTATAATCATCTACTTTGTTAATATATTTTTAGTTAGTTTATAGATTTCAATGTTTATATATTTTATTTCAAATTTGGGCTTGTAAAATTTTGTAAATATTATATAAATAATTTTATTTTATTTATAGATAAAAAAAATATTACTTATAATCTACTTTGTTAATATATTTTTTGTTAGTTTATAGCTTTCAATGTTTATATATTTTATTTCAAATTTGGGCTTGTAAAATTTTGTAAATATTATATATATAATTTTATTTTATTTATAGATAAAAATATTATAACTTTGTTAATATATTTTTAGTTAGTTTATAGTTTTCAATGTTTATATATTTATTTCAAATTTGGGTTTGTAAAATTTTGTAAATATTATATATATAATTTTATTTTATTTATAGATAAAAAAATATTATAACTTTGTTTATATATTTTTAGTTAGTTTATAGCTTTCAATGTTTATATATTTTATTTCAAATTTGGGCTTGTAAAATTTTGTAAATATTATATATATAATTTTATTTTATTTATAGATAAAAAAAATATTATAACTTTGTTTATATATTTTTAGTTAGTTTATAGTTTTCAATGTTTATATATTTTATTTCAAATTTGGGCTTGTAAAATTTTGTAAATATTATATATATATAATTTTATTTTATTTATAGATAAAAAAATATTACTTATAATCTACTTTGTTAATATATTTTTAGTTAGTTTATAGCTTTCAATCTTTATATATTTTATTTCAAATTTGGGCTTGTAAAATTTTGTAAATATTATATATATAATTTTATTTTATTTATAGATAAAAATATTATAACTTTGTTAATATATTTTTAGTTAGTTTATAGCTTTCAATGTTTATATATTTTATTTCAAATTTGGGCTTGTAAAATTTTGTAAATATTATATATATAATTTTATTTTATTTATAGATAAAAATATTATAACTTTGTTAATATATTTTTAGTTAGTTTATAGCTTTCAATGTTTATATATTTTATTTCAAATTTGGGCTTGAAAATTTCTATTCATTTAACGTTTCGTAAGTTTAACTTATCACACAGTAGGTGAAAATATATTTGATCTCTTTTTCAAACACCATTAAGTTGTAAAAAACCGAAAAAAACCAAAAAATCGAAAAAAACTGAAAGAACC